GGCCGATCGACAGCCAAATATTGGAAGGCGGGCAACACCATATGTGGAAATGAACGCCAGGCGTGACGACTGCTATGGTCAACAATGAAAGGCGGCTGTGTTGACCAGTCCTTCGTCAGCCATGTACAGATAGTTGAACGTCTGGGCAGTCAGACTGTTGTATGTACGAATTGCGTTTAGTGGCAGAAATTGCCTCTGAAGCCCCCTACAGTTGTGCGGCAGTACAAATTGAAAAAAAATACAAATCAGAGTTATGCCTTGCATGCCATTTATTACATTGAATAGTCGGGCATCAGACGGGCCCAGGCGAACTACAGCCAAAAGGGTGCTCGCATCGACAGCATTATGGCCAGCCCAAAATGCCATGCTGTCCTGCTGCTGGCAAGGTAGCGACTTACCACCTGTTTTTCTACTGGTCGCGTCAAAGCGATTTGGGGTTAGCTAATTACTGACTAATTAGAATATTCTCGGTTAAGACAAAGTCTGTCCCCTGACCGAATTTGAACCTGACACCTTTGAGTTCAATGCCAACCATTTAGACACTGCACCACTACGCCATACAAGGAAGATTTTTGATCTTTCATACAGCTTTCTCCACCGCATGATCTGTAAATTAGCACTTCTGGTTGTCACTCTTGAAACGACCGATGAAATTGTTTTGCATAGGAAGTTTGTACGAGAGCTTCTCACCTGAACGCTTTGCGCTGGAGCAACTTTTGGGTAAGGAATTGACTCGCTGAATTTGAATTTAGACGGTTCCTGGACGTCAATGATGCACCTCAAACTAACGTCAGACTGAAACAATAACTGAGGCTAATATGGAAACAAAGAAATTGTTGCTTGCCTTGTTTTCCAGTAAAACAGCTGCCAAGCGCCTCGTTTTGAAGAGGTAGACGTCGAGAGATTGATCAGAAAGCAAATAGTGAGCATTCTCAAAGAAGTAGCGCAAAATAGCGTTTTTGTATATCGTGATCCACGGCTGAATATCCATAACTCGAAAAGAAACTAAATCTTTTTCCGGCGATACGCATACTCTGTACGGTGCTATCTGAAAAGTACCAATATTTCAGTTCCTCGAAGTACAGAGTATTCGAACAGTCGTACTCTGTCAAACTCAAGAGACTTGTTGCATCCCATCGCTTCCAATGACGTCCACATGTCCGCGGTGTCACCGGCGCTGTCCTCAGCTTCCATCTGGGTGAGGTCCAGAAATCCTTTAAGAGTCAATTCGTGATTTTTCGAACTGAAGCTGTCTAGTAAAAGTAACAAATGTACAAAAAGTCGTATCTGATGCGTTATAAGACACTGTTATAGAAGCAGATGAAAAACTTTATTCAACTGTACCATAGTGTATTAAATAGACCAATAACATTGAACGCCAAAAAATGACTTTTTTTATAATTTGACGTTTTGGCTTTACAAACAAAGGGTCTCGTGAGACAATAACAACGCTAATCTATCTCTGAGAATACAGTGCTATTTTTAGCAACAGTTGCACTAAATGTATGAAAATATGGCGCGACTCTCGCTCATTATGAAAGGCTTAGGAAGAGCAAGCGCTGGATTTAATAAGTCCGCTGAATATGCTCTGCCGCTAAAATATGAAACTCAACCGGCACTGCAGCCAAGGCCATGAAGTCTAGATCAGGAAACATAGATTTACTGAAAATTCGGTGGCTATGTAACCGAAATTTGGATACCACTGTCCAGCGATCATTAGTTGCTTAAAAATTTTAGATTAGCCATTAATTTTTTCTAATCACCATACGAAAAAAATGAATCCAAAGATTAAGTATTGTGCGTTAATGATCATACTGTAAACGACATAAAATGTTATTTAGTAATAAATAACTTAAACAGTACAGTCAATCGGATGATTGATCAGTACCAATGTTTCGACCCGTATTTCACACGCCTTCTTCAAGATAAAGAAGTTGACTTCTTTGCAAGTTCTCTCGATCGTCTGCAACAGTTCGTAACCTCAGAACCAGAAAGCCAGCTTTAGTTCATTCAGTACTGCCGGTTAAGTAGTTTTCTGGTGACAGGAGTGACGAAACTCATCCAATCTGTACCGAGTTCGTATTCTTTGTGGCATGTGACGTTGCCGCAGGACTTAAAGTGTCAAGCTTCCATGACAGGCCGGATTAAACCTGTTGATTAGAGCACTATGGTCAATTAAAAGTTAAAGATTTGTTTTCTAACCTCCCTGTTCACCTTATTATTAATATCGTCGGTATACTCTTTTTAACAGATTATTCATTTACACAATTCACTAGTCCCTCTGTTAATTCTCTCATAAAATCAGCGGTATTTTGTATAGCATGATTTTAAATTATTTCTTATTCGATAGCGATTCTTCAAGCAAGCCAAGGGAATAGTAATAAGCAATCCACGTTCCTCCATACTTGCTGAAATTTTCAGGGAACGCGCTGAAAATGTGGCCAGGATATGTTCCCATGGGGTGTTGAAAACATATTTTGACGAAATGTTCGCTATTTACCTTAGTAGTAATGACAATAAAATACCATAGTCTCTTTCCACAAAAATATTTAGTTAACAGTTGAAAGTGCTAATAATTCTAGCCTATCTTTTCTACATGTCTTAATGATAAAATTAATTACTCTAGCAATTGCTATACAGAATATAACGGCTTGTTTCGACCTTGGTTAATACCTCAAATTTAACTCACATAATCACTTAAACAATAAACAGTCTTCAGCTACACTTTTAATAAGCAGAACACTGAATCTGTGCAATAATGAATTTCTTAAAGAGGAAATAAAACGTTGAATTAACCTTGTGTGAAAACAATGATTAAATTCGTTAACAGAATTATAAACCGTAGAATAATTGACGCTAAACTGATCTGTAACAGCAAGAGTCTAAACAGCAACATTTTAAGCTACAAATTATACTTAAGTGTACGCTGTAATATAAACTAAATTTAAAAGTTACAAAGGTTAATATACACTAATCATAGTACTAACCTTGTATACAAAAGATCTAGTGAACTTATTACGTTATTAAGTAATTCTGAGAATAACAACTGTCTATGCTGGGTATACAAATTACCTGCAATTGCAGGAAACATCATATAAGAGAAACTGAAAACACCATCACTCAAAGAATAGAGACTCATCTGTCAAGCTGCAGAAGAAGGATGATTCAGGACGAACTGCGCTACACCTGGTAGTGACGGCAAA